GTGTGTGTGTGTGTGTGTGTGTGTGTGTGCGTGCGCGTGTATGTGTGTGTTTATCCGTGTGTGCATCCGTGTGTGTGCGTGTGCACACGCGCGCGTCTGTTTCAAAATCCGTTTTCGATTGACCTCTTTGACAGTATTTTCTTTTTCTAAGAAACTGCGACGTCAGTGATCAGCATATTATCGTGATTAACGGACGTCAGGTCTTGAGAAAAAGAAAATCCTGTATCAAGCTGATCTCGTCGTGTGCTGAGAATATAGATCTACGTTTTTGAAAGCCCCAGGGCATAGTATGTACCTAGTCTGACTTGTGCCGAATTGGACACATTTTGGATCTCTTACTCATTATAAACCCTATCCGTAGGTCGTGTTTTACTATCGTATCCATACGACGTGGGGAACTCTGAGCCACCACTTTCTAAACGGGAAATTTACTCGTTAATCCGATCCTTACGCTTTGCATAGCAGTCTGTCAAAATGATTTTTTGAGAAATACTGAAAGTTTCAAAGAGATCTTCGTACTAGATGTATTCTAAAAAGTGAAGAATACAACCCCGGGGATACAAAATGACCCCAGGGCGTACGGATAGGGTTAAGTTACTTTATTCGAGTATGTGTGCATTGTTTGTCCAAACTGTTTTATCTGCACGATCTTTTACAACGATGACTGTGGGTGGTTGGCGGGTGCTCTGGTGTGGTTGGCTTCTTCTTTCCTATCAAACATCTATCGTCTTTATCTCCGCTCCTTCTTTTTATACTTGTTACTCTCTTGTAACACCCCTAATCTTCTGGCGCTCATATCATGACCTTATGCAGTTGCGAGCGCCGTAAAACCTCTACTAAAACTAAAACTAAACAACGATGACTGACACCGTTTTCTGCTCATGCGGTCCACGGCACATAAAATGTTGCACATACTCATACAAACATAGATCTACTGACGACAAAATGTTCAGAATTGCAATAAAAGTAACAGTAAAGGATTTGGGGGGAGGGTGGGGGTTGGATTTCTTTGGGGTTTTTTGTTGTGTTTTCTTATTTAGGTGTTGGGGTATGTGAGTGTGAGGGGGGGGTTGTTTTTGTTTGTTGGTGGTGGTGGGTTGTTGTTTTGTTGTTTGTTTGGGTTTGTTTTGTT